CTAAATGGACGAAGATCATTTTCTACTATTGGCTGATTTAATTTGACATATGATGTTATTTTCTTCCCTAGAGATGATCCCGACTGATATCCAGGGAGAGTTAAAACATCTTTATGTTGCTGCTGGAGAGTTATTGAGACACTACTGGTCCTGTTTTCCTGTAAACACACCATTTTTAGAAGAAAAGGTGACCAATGTGTAATTTCTTTACAAGACATTTATAGTGTTATGGTTCTTGATTTGATCTTTTAATATTTGGCATCAGGAATATCACACTTCTAAATGGTCTTGTTTTCACATAGGTGATAAAAATGAAGTCAAATCTTGAAAGATTTCAGATGACCAAGCTTCGTCCATTTCAGGAGAAGATTCAACGTCAGTATTTAAGTACAAATGTAAGTTTCTGAGGTTTGGATCTGTTCCTGAGGGTTAACACCAGGCAGCACTTCCTGTATTTAACTTTTTTCCCCACGTGTCCACAGCTCACAGGGCACTTGGAGGAAATGCTGCAGGCGGCCTACAACAAGTTCCATGCCTGGCAGACGCGTCGTATGATGAGGAAAACCTGAGGTCTGATGTCTTGGAAGACGACAAGGAAGACGTCAAAGTATCTGAACATGTGTCCTGAGAAGGTTGTCCAGTCATAGACATAGTACACAGGGACTTGATGATGGGCATGCAGATGGACACTGCTAAATCCTCTAGTATTCTACAGACTCACTACATCTCAGTCACAAATAACAGTTTTCTTTTTTTGTCATGGATGAGAGACTGTTGATGCTAATGGTTTAGAGGGACTTTTTTTCTTTTTTTTTCAAAAATGGTATTGTATGACCAAATTTCAGAAGGAAATGTGTATTAGACTCAGGAAAACATGTTGTGCTGTGCTGTGATGTGACAAGGATGGTGTTCATCAGCGATCAGAGGAAAAGAACTGCTGAGGAAAGATGCCCGTCTGAGCACTGGCTCCATTTGTAGAACAGTGTTTTGGAAAATCTGAAGCTAAAGGTGGAAGTGAATAGAGCAATATTCTAAAGACATTTAACACTTGAGTGCATTAATGTGTGTGCGACTCAAATCACACTGTCACTGTTTTCTAATGTCTGCACCTTCTCCCTGCACTGGAGAAAACATGTAAATGAAATAAAGAGAAGGCGTAAAGCTGCAGTATTTTTTTACCCAGGTCTTTGACCTCTAACTGGTGTTTTTGGTCATTTAATTCTTTTCATTATAAGGTGTCCCAAGTGTTTTTATAAACCACAAGATTCAGATAGTGAATTGAGAATATGTTTTACATCCAAAATTCAAGCGATCTGTATCCTTTTTTTGTTTCACTCTTATCAGCCGCTAGATAACGAACAATTAACCCAAAAAAAAGGTTAATGTCCATCTACAATTTCTGCTTGGTGCATTCATGTTTGATTCTTAAGGAAAGTTGACAATTCCAAAAGTAAGTTTTAATGTTTCGTGATGAAATGTGTTACGTTTGACTAAAAAGAAACATCCATGATCGAAGCATTTGAGTTTTTGTAATTATATTAAATACAGATACTTTGTTGTATATTCCTTTAGATTTCTGAACGCCACTAGTAATTAGGCAACCAGGATGACATTCATATAACATGGACGTCAGTGGAAGTCAATTTAAAAGCTCAGTGTTAAAAAATGTATTATGACAACAGACAACATGACAAAATTATATTTTGCAATAAACTGTGAATTGATGAAAAACATTTGTATTTTTCTGTTTACTTTTTTTAATTAGCTGTAGAAAGGCAGCATCATATGTACTGATATTATTTAAAATACAGACAAAAGAGTAAAGAAATATGCATATTGGATTGCTGGAGACTCATTGTAAAATTGTCTAATTTGTTGTTGATTTGCTCGAGGGTGGAGCATTTACCGTTCAGCCCAGCTCGGCTGTCTGAAGTCAGTCAGTCAGAGAGGCGTCACAGCGAGCAGCGGCTTCCTCCTAAAAACAAAAGCAAAAGAAACTCGGGATGAAAGAGTTGCTGGTGTCGTGGATTTGACGGTGACAACGAGAGTGACCTGGAGCCAGAGGTGAGTTCAGACTGTGCCTGTATGACGCTAACACAGAGGGAGCTAGCGAAGTTGCTAAACTGTCATTGACCCAAGGAGCACCATATTGGAAAGACAGCGTCAGTGAATGTTCTAATAAAAATAATCACCGCCTCGTCACATAGGTGTGTTTATCTCGGTGATGCGCTGTGTGTTTATTTATTTTAGGACTCTCTATGTGCGTTTTACTTTGCTGGCACTTTTCATACAAACGTTAGCATCAGTGTCAGCAGACTGATCTCGTGATTTGTTGAGAAGCGACCCCAGTCTTTGACTGATCACTGACCAGACCGCTGTTTAAAACAACCTTGTGTGGGTTTAACATTCAAACCCAGGTTCCGTTGGCCGTTGGTGACACTTTCAATTTGTGGAACTCAGTTTAAAAAAAAAAGCAGAAGTGAAAATCCAACCCCAAGCTACTGTCACCAGTAAAAGTAACGGGAAACACCGAGTAACAGAATTCAACATAACAAGTGGACCTGAGCCAAAAATGAAAACTAACATTAAAAACAGATAATGAGAACATTATTGGTGAATGGTGTCCACGGTGGGGGGGCGGGGACCTCGTTGGTATTGTGGAAGAATTGCATTTAATTTCAATACATTTCCATTTTTCCAAATTTGCTGTAAAAAGATAAAAACAGTGCAGTTCTAAATCCTTGAGTGATGACAGTGACAGTAATCGTGTGACTAATCTATTCTTTTCTCCCTTGGAGTTATTCAAAGTGCATTCCTAATGAAGAAGAGTATGACAAATGAAGGTTAAGTGTCAGAATTGACCTTGAATTGCTGAGAATCTTTAAGGTGGTAGTCTTCAAGAGTGTCAACTGCTTATAATTATTTACCTTTGACTAGTGTGTCAGTCATGGTTTTTGGAACCTGAAGCCTATGTTGTTGTGAACAACTGTAGCCTACAGTCACAATGCCATTATGTTATTGCTGTAATCTGGCCTATGTTTCGTCACTGTGACGAAAAGGTTAACGTCATGTTTGCTAAAGCAGAACAGGGAATGTGCTAACTAAGAGTTGACTGTGCTGGAGGCTAAGTGGAGTCATGACTTGTCAGTTTACTGAGTCATGTGGTGCCACATGTCTCAGGGCAGTGGCACATCATCCAGTAGAGCAGTGACTGCTGTAGTCACATACTTCACTGAACCACTCATTCCCTTTCAGTTCCTGGTCAGCAGTGAAGATGTCCCTCATCCCAGTTGTACCAGAGAACTACACTCATGTCCTGGCAGAGTTTGACTGTCTGGACCCACTTCTGTCTGCACTGCGCTTGGACTCTGGCAGACTCAAGGTAGATTTCCCTCATCTCAATTTAGTATTAGTATTTAGTACTGAATTTGTATTTCCTTATTACATCTTTCTTGAAAGAAATCAATGTATTATAATGTTTAAAGTTATAATAACTAGAATAGCTGTTTATTTTCAATGCTTCCTGAAGGAACATGGTGTTTTTTTTTTCTCATTAAGAGATCAAGAGTAGCTGTTATCAAAGTACTGTTTTGTATTGTATTGAAGTCCACTTATAAATGAAGTGATTTTTTTTGGATTTTTAAATAAAGATTTTAGGTTTTATTTTGTACATAGTATGAAATAATAGCCTTTAAAAAATGACCTTGTTTCAATAAGAAAACAATAAGAAATATTCATTCATTTCTGTGGTGTCTCTACCAGACCATACACAGTGATTGTGCGCTCTATTGTGTTGCAGTGCACTTGTTTGGCGGTGTCGAGGAAGTGGTTAGCCTTAGGAACCTCAGCAGGGGGTTTGCACCTGATTCAGAAGGAGGGATGGAAACAAAGGCTAATCCTCACTCACAAGGTGATGCTGAATGTGACTTTGTCCATGTGTTTTATTGTAGATATGTTAATGTCTGTACATTTATAGTCTTCTCACCCTTTATCTGCAGGAGGGATCCATCACTCAGGTGGCGTGTTGTCCTCACGATGAAGATTACATAGCTGTGGCAACAAGGTTGGAGTCTGTCTGTGGAATGAAGAAACATTTCAACCTGTTGTTAACTACTGTTTCCTTCCTTTTCCTTTTCACACGTGATGACTATCTCTTAGTCTGTTCTCTCGATTACTGAGGAGAATATGATGAGTGATGATTAGACAATATCTCAAACATCTTTAGTTAGACTGACTCAGAGGAGACCCAGTCTACTTTACACAGGTTTAGGTCCATGTTTGGTGCCAGTCTGTACCTGTGTTATAACTGTTCCAGCCAGGGTCTGGTGGTTGTGTGGGAGCTGCAGCTGGAGCGACGAGGACGTCCAGAGAGGGTCAGTGTATCCTGGGAGCACAGAGGCCAGACTGTCACCGCACTCTGCTGGGACACAGGCACGCTCAGAGTTTTTGTGGGTGACTCTGCAGGGAAGGTGTCTTTTCTGCGTGCAGGATCCACCAAACTAGGAAAGGTATCAACTTGTACATTAACAGCATTTAATAACTGCTGTTATTTACCAGGTGGATAATTCCAAATGTGTCTACTCCATATGTGTGATCACTCTGCATACTCGCTAAAACCTTGGATATCTTTGTGTGTCCAGGGGGCAGCATTTGTCATCTTTCCTGTGCAGACCATCACCACTGTGGACTCGAAGGTGGTTCAGCTCGGGTACCAGGATGGCCGTCTGCTGGTATCTTCACTCAGCCGATGTTACCTCTGTGACACAGAAAAGTACGTTTTTATTTACCAGTTTGTGACTGTTCATTGTGGTGTCGCTGAAGTAGAAGAAGTTATTCAGTGGTGAAAATAGTTCTAACAGTTTTGTTGTTTTTCCTGCTTCCAGAGAAAAATTCTGGCGGGTTGGAAATAAAGAGCGTGACGGCGAATACGGAGCCTGCTTTTTCCCTCAGAATAAGGGTGTGCTGGTTGGTCAGCCACCTCTGCTGTACTGCGCTCGACCAGGGTCTCGAATATGGGAGGCCAGTTTTCACGGCGAGGTCCTGAGCACCCATCAGTTCAAGCAGCTGCTGGGCAGCCCTCCTCTACCTCTGGTCACTTATAGGTGTGTCTGCTTCCTGTTCTACCTTTATCATCCATAAAACTTCTATTCTCATCATTTCTGTTTTTTGTTTTTTTTTTTTGTTTCCTGTAGAAATGAGCCTCATTACAACCCAGGACAGAAGAGCCCACAGTCCATTGCCTTTTCTAAACTGCTATATTTGGGGTAAAGCGATCCCTCCTCTCTCCTCACTCTGAAGCTTGGCAATCAGATTAGCTGTTGAAAATGCTAAACTTTGACATCTTTATATAAGAAACTGAAAACTTTACTTTTTGTTCGTTCAGAGACCAAAACCTGTTGACCTGGACTGATTCAGCCATTTACATCTTCACTCCTCAGACTGGACAGCTGCTTCTGTGGACTCAAGTCAAAGGTGTGGTGATGTTTAATATTAGAATGTAACTTTATGCTTTCTGCACTAAACTACCGTCCATCACGGTTTCCATCACTTTGTCACTGTTAGTCTATTGTATTCAAACCTATTTTTGTTGTCCTGCAGACCTGGTTGACATCGCAGTCTACCGCAGCGACCTCTTCTGTCTCCACAGCGGCGGCCGTCTCTCCCATCTCTCCCTGTTATCTGCAGAGCGTTGTGTGGAACGTCTAGTGCGACGGGAGTCCTGGCCTCTGGCTGCTTCTATCTGCTGCATGTTTCAGCATGCAGTCACCACCAGCAGGGTAAGATGGCTGCCAATGTTTTTTAATTTAAATTAATTTAATTAAACCTTTATTTTATTCTGAGTCTTTTTGCAGAATGTTTGTCATCTGAATTAAAACGGACTAAATTCTTAATACAGGCCAGGAAAACCATTCCTATCGACCGCCTCGAGCACCTCAGGTCTCAGCTCAACGCCACCTCGCACCAGGAGCTGATTGGTCAGCTGGATGACGTCATTGCTAAGCTGGAGCCTCTGGACTCTGCGTCCAGCAGCCGCAGGAGCAGCATCTCTTCACATGTGAGTTTGGTTGTAAACTAGAAGGTAGGTCACCTGACACTCAGTAAAGGTCACTCCTTAAATGTCTTCATCCAGGAGAGCTTCAACGTTCTCGACTGTGGGATTTACCGTGTGATCAGCCGCAGAGGAAGTCAGTCAGATGAGGAGACGGGTTCGCTCATCAACCATTCCCTGTCAGAGGAGGAAAGGCTGAAAGACTTCAGCTTTGTTCAGGAGGAAGATCAAGTGGATCCAGGTAGGAGGCTGGTTTCCTTTACCTCAGAGGTCTGTGTCTGTGGGACGTGACAAGAAAGTCAAATGTAGACAGTAATCATCTTTTAGACATGATTTATTTTTGTTTCTTTCAGGTGAAGTCACAGCTGAGCCACAGCTTATTTCAGTCTAATTTTTAAAGGTTTTAATGTAGTCAGACTACTGCTACTACTATATGACAATAATTCTGTCAGAGCTGATATTTCTAATCTAATCTAAATGTGAATGGACTGGCAATTAAACAAAAGTGTTTAATACAGTCATACTACTACAACTAAATAAAACTAAATGCTCCTACTGCTGCTACTATAGTATAGTATATGACTACTAATACTGTATTAATAATAACAATAATAATATCATTCTCAAAATAAATCATTAATAATCACTTTAAATCCAGTGTTTTATGTACTGAACACTTTACAGAAATGTAAATTAACATCACATCATGTCATTCTTGATGAGGATATTTACCTTATTAATACCAACCCAGCTAGAAGAAGAACTCTTGGTGGAGTGTAAATGTTGTTTTTACTGCAGTAAACCTCTGTCTAACTTATTTCCTGCTCTCTTCATCTCCTGCCTGTTGACATGCGATGTTTGTCTGCATCAGAAACAAACGTCTCTGTACAGAGTCAAGAGAGATTACATTTATTCTCGACCTCAGAGCTTCCACAAACTGGAACCTCCCTGGGAACTCCTCTGCATGGGGTTTTTTTTAAAACATGTGACTGATGAAAATTCTTCTCCTTGACCTGTTCTCTGACATTTAAATTGAGCTGTTCTCAGTCATGATTTGATTGTATTTTTGTCAACAAGTCACTGATTGATGATTAATAACTACTCTTGTCTGATTATTCTTGACTTTGTCTAATGAATAATATCAAGTTTCCCGTGTGTGTTTCATTCTGTCACACATATGTCATGATTTTAATTTTCTGCACCGTGCAGCTTTTTATTTACGTTGGCTCTGAGGTGGTGTCCACCAACTTTGCACCATCTACTTGCATTTTCCACTTTCCCTGCCATTCCTTCCACCCAGCTCTCCATCCATCTGTGTTTTTCCTCTGGCTCTTGCCTCCATCTTTATTCAGATCTACAGAGCAGCGAGCGACCCGAGGCTGAGCGGCCAGAGCAGGGCATGCAGTTTCACCTGCCGCTCTCATTTCGACCCAAACCCACGCGCATTGCACTTCAAGCCGTCAAAGACAGGTGATACATGAAGGCAGACAGGCTGACGTCTTAGTTAAACTTTCTGAATTGTATTTTAACAGTTTGTGGGTGTTAGTTTTCTATTTTCAGCAATATTAAAAGTTTTCATTTCTATCAGGACGAGAAAAACATGTTTCTGTTCTACAGTGTTTCCAGTTTTGTAAAGAAGACGACAGAAAAGATCAACACCCTCCAGATGAACTCTGACCTGTGGCAGCGACCTGAATCAAGAGAGGGCGGTCACCCTGAACTGTCAGTGACCACAGCTATGTATTTAGAGGAAATGGACAACGAGTGAGTAAATAAGTCTCTGTCTCTCGTGTTGTTGACGTGTGCTGTGGTAGGATGACCATTTTAATTTAAGGGAAATTCACTGAAGGAGTAAGTTGCAATTCTCAAATCAAGAAGCAGTTTAGTTGCACAGAATGTATGGTTAAAGGAGGTAAAATTAAAGCCAGTATAAAGAATATAAATAGCTTTAAGTTATTAAAAATGAACTTGTGGGTTCTACCGGTGTTCCCAGGATTTATGATGAAATTCCAAACACGGAGGTGGACATGCAGGATCTTCGAACAGCAACACAGCGAGCCATGTGAGCACTGCCAACACCTGCAGTGATGCAACACTGCTGTTATCTGTAATCAATCATTACAATATTATAAATATGTATTTCATTGGCAGATCTCAGATCCACGACCCTTTGTTGTTACTTGATCCAGTCTGCCTCGGAGAAGTCCTGCTGGAGTGGCTGCCTGTGCTGCAGCGAGTCCTCGGCCCTGCAGATCTCAGACCAGCTTCCCTGAGCGATTTAGGGGAGAAGAGATGGGAGAAGGATTATCCTAACTCCTACAGGGAACAGCAGTCAGAGGAGCCCTCCTTCTCCTCAGAGCATCTTACAGAGAAAAAGGAGGGGCTGGAGGAGGCAGCTCCAGAGCTGAGGGAACAGGAGGAGCAGTGTGGCTCAGCTGAAAAACTCTGTGAAGTTCCAAATGGGAATCTGTCTGAGCCTGTGAGAGTGCTGTCTCCTATAGCTGTGCCCTCAGACCTCCTGGCTGACCTCACCCAGTTGGCCACGTTGTATACGGAGATGAGCTGCTTCAGAAAACAGGAGCATGAACAGGCTTTGGAGTGCAATGTGTTCCTGCGCCGCTTCTTCTTCCTGCTGGATCAGGAGCGAGTGAGGAGGATGTGTCTTCTGTGTCAGGGGGAGCAGGCGGAGGTGCAGCGCTCCTTCATTGAGGCCATGCTAGGTCAGGAGCCTGAATCACCACCACGGAGTTAAATGGTTTGAAGGCCAACGGTTAAAGGCATCCTGTTTACAAATGTTCTGTCTGTGTAGAAGTCACTCAGTCTTCTAAGGTGGTGGAGGTGATTCACAGAGGTGACCTGCTGAGATCTCTGCGCAGTCTGAGAGAGCTGCAGCCCTGGAGTGCACCTCCTCTCCTGGCTCACCTCTACAGGTCAGAACCTGCTTTTGCAACTTTGTATAAAATGTAGGTGATTAATGCTCTTGCTTTTCTGCAAGTTGGGTAGTATTTGATTGTCTTGTTACAAGGTGTTTGTGTTTTCCCCAGGAGAGGGCAGTGGGGGGGTTCCAGGTAGAACAGTTTCCTCTCACATTCCAAAAACAAACAGGATCAGGTTAAATGTTTACTCTAAGTCAACATGATGTGTGATTCTCAGTCAATGAACCCTTGCCCAGAACTGCTGAGATTGAGCAAAAACGGATAAAACAGAGTCACGATGTCATGGCTGTGTTTCCTCTTTTGGTCCAGGCTGTATGAGAAACATGGAGAGGCAGCTGTCCGGTCTTGCTGCCAGTTTTATCCCACCATAACTCCTGCTGACATATGGACTATGGCCCAACAAAGCCACTTCCTGGCCTACCTGGACAATCTTGTCCAGTCACAAAGTGAGGGGCAAAGGTAGAGCTTCAACACATCTTTTTGTTGAAATGAAGGAACCTAGCAGGACACTAAGAACGAACTCCTTTTTTTCTCTCATTTCTCTGTGTAGGTTGTCATTTTTGCAGACACTTCTTGAGCCAGAATCACTGAAACAGGATTGGTTAGAGCTGGCACTTACCCATGATGCTCCTCAGCGCTGTGATACCGTAACCCCCGATGGTCAGCCTAGGTTTGTCATGAAATACAAATACATTATTACACACACACAGGCTTGGTAGTTCAGCATGTAGCAATTCTCGTGTGTAACTCGTGTCTTGTCCTGTAGGTGGCGTTCACATCGGTAACTCGTATCTTGTCCTGTAGGTGGCGTTCACATCGCTTCAGTTGGGGTTATGGACGTCTGTTGTCACTGCTGATACGATTACCTGCAAACCTGCCCTCCAAACACAAGATGGCAGACTCGTGCCGCACTCACGGGTACTCCTTACTACACAAAGACTCCTGCTCCATTGATGGAGTGTACTGTTATACCGTGTTGTATTTGAACTGTTGTACCTGTGCAGGTACTGGATGGGATACCTGTACCTCTGCTGTGAGCTGCAGGACCGAGCGGAGGCGTTTTCCACCGTGTGTCAGCTGAATGACATCAGTCTGCTGGAGGAGCCTGAGGGTTGGTTCAATATGTGGTGACTTTAAGTTATAAATCCATCTGTCTTTTTTTTCAATCATCAACAAATCAAGGCCTAACGTCTGCATTTCTCTTGTTCTCCTGCAGGTGTTGAACCTCAAACCTTGGATGAGTGGAAGCTTCTCATCAATTTGTCTCAACAGTGTGGCTGCGTGGTGGACTCGGAGCAGGGCCGAGGCCCAGATGAAACAAGTTTGTCCAATGGTTCTGAGGACTGTAGAGGAAGGATCAGCCTGGAGAACCTCACACTGATGCTAGCCCGAAAAACTGGACCAGACCGAGCGTTAGCTATCTTGGAGGAGTGTGGAGCACCGCTGGTTCTGTCGCCTCACTCCAAAATGGTCTGTGAGCTTCTGAGACTCACCGAGAAGAGACAAAGGTGAGGCACCAGGAAGCTGTACTGGAATTATCTCTGGAAAATAGAAATTTCAGAGGTAACAATCTCCTTCAGATGATCTATTATTGGAATAAGGTATAAAAATAATTATAACAAAACAAGTTATTTCTTCTTTACTTAGACTTAACTTAGAAGTTATTATGAAGTTTAAATGTTAATTATTATTGACTTCAAATGTTAATGACTTTTTTTGTTATTTCTTATCAGGGCGATGATCCAGATGATGCTTGAACGCTGTGACCGGTTCCTGTGGTCCCAGCATGCTTAGCTCCACATGAGCAGCTGCTCTGAGCCAAACCAGAAACACATACTTGTGTATGCACAGCATATGCTAATTACTGTATACAGTTA